GGCAAGCCTGTCATTCGCAATCGTCTGATTACAGCAAGTGTGTCAAGAGTTTTGCAAACGCGTAAAAGTGCGAATTAAGAGGGCATTTCGATGGTATATTTTCATTAAACTACATTAAGATCAAATTTGAAAAACCTCTGAAACACTGAAGACGCTCAAGAAACTCAAATTGTAAGGGGTAGGATCCGAAGGCTCGGAAAGCTCGCAGATGCTCAGGGATCTACATCCTCACGTTCCCTCCCCTTCCCAAGTCCAATCCTACTATGTTGCAAGCATATTTAGTACCGTTGAGACAATGAAGGTGAATATTTGATTTCTCATTTAAGTAGATGAATATTCAACTTACTGTTGTTGTTGGTGTTGCCGGAGTTTCGATGTTGGATTAATTCGGATTATTTCCTTCTGAATGTGCTTGAATAAGTCCCAGTACCGTCAGCTGTCGAACGCACTCAGTCCATAATCAATTTCTGTTGACATTCACACATTTATAGCGCTAAATATGAAATTCACTAATCGAAACACTCATCCTATAACAAAAATTGGGATATATGGGAAGATGAAGTTTCACCAGAAAAGTAAAACAATTGATCCATTGCTAGCATTGATTCATCGAAATGAATATTCAGTGTTGTGTGATCATTGCCTGCTTTTTATTACTCAATAAGGCATTTATGCAAGCATTTCGATGCCTTTCATTAATCGTTCAATTTTCTCATAAAATTTCACTGAATTGTTGGTGAGAGTCGAATTTAATTAAATTTTCTCATGATCACAACAATGAAAGTTGTCGCTTGGCACGTATAGTATCGTACATGTTACATGAATCGATGTTGCATTTCCGCCATTCTTACAGGTGAACTTTTTCAGACAGTTATGCACGATTGTTTTTTGCAGTGGCAGACTGCAACTGCAAAAGCTAGTCTATCTTATCACAAGTGATGAGACGAGAATCAATTAGAGCTCACAATAGAAATTCATTTGCAACTGTTCAGTGCTCGTTGCTAGGATGAAGGAATTTGCCACCATCAGAAACATTTATTGCAAAAGTTTGAATTGCAAAGATTATTATCCTCGGAATAATTTAGCAATTATTCAGTCTATCAGGTTTCGTATTCTCACACTGCAAAGTGGTGTGCACAAGTCACTTTCACTTATTCGAAATAGCAAAACTATGAAGTTTCTTTTTGCTTAGTTCGATGTTACTCAGTAATGAAATTGTTCAACAGAGAAGAAGAATTATATCAGTGGGAAAAAGTAACAAAATTCATTAAAATTCGCGTCTGCCTCAGCAATAATTGTTCACCATAGCTGTCTAATGAAGCCAGCAAAAGCCTACCTGATGGATAGAGTAGTTTCGCCTTTGGTTGCACATCTTGAAATGAACAGTTTAATTGGCTGTTTTATGCTTTTAAATAATGTCATTTGATTGTCGATGTAGCTAAAGTCATTAATTTCAAAAGCAACAGCTTGATCTGAATGAATTTTTAGCAGTAAATCAGAAGAAAGTGCTTGAGGTTGCAACAATGTGATTGGATCAGAGAGTTCAGATGGAAGCAAGTAATGACCTATCATAAGAATGCATGGCGTCTGAGATAGACTGATTTTATGTAATCACTTTATATGGCAGTACTTGTTAATGACTGAAAATAACTCAAATGAAAATGAATCGCAATAAACTTGTTCTAATTCATGAATTTTATGATCCATGAACAAGCACAAATGCTGTCAATTGAACTGAAAAGAAGCGTAATAAACCACTAAAAAAAGTGTAATGGTCAAAAGCAGTTGATACAAGTAAAAAATAGATCACACAAGAACAACTGATTGATAAACGTGAAAGCTGTTGGTTTCAATAACATATGAAACTACTTTCAACTGAATGGCATCATAATGTTAAGCATTGAAGTAAGATGTTGAATGATGAAGCGTAATGAAATGAGCAATGAGATAAGATAACAAATGAACTGAGCTCGAATGAGGTTGCTAAGTAACAGTGATAACGTATGCGGAAGTGACTTCGATCAAACAATTCAATTATGGGTGGAATGCTCGCGGTTTTTATTGAATAATGTCGAATAAGCATATGACAATGATTGATGTGTTACAGATTCATATTCACGATGCTTGATCGCATTCAAAACGCAACCGATGAGTATTCTCGTTTTGTTTCGTTCTCCAAAAATGCGATTTCCTCTAAATCATCCAAACTTGTACTTCACTGACAGCGAAAACAATTTTGTACTGTAAATCAATTTTGAATTTATACTCATCAAACAGTATAGATTACGACGAAAATATGTTTAGAATGACTAGCTAATCACAGGAATATGCTGAATAATTCCTTATCAAATTATTGTTCAAAAAAAGCTTGGGAAATTAATTCAAAACTGCTAATTGTGAGATTATTTCAGGCTCACATTTCCATATTCTCGTGACAACTCTCCTCGTTTCACACGCCACAGTAGGTGGTAACTTCAAAAATTTTTTTTGTAAATGAACGATCGTTTATTCAATACTTGTTTAATTTTTTCGTGGATGAAATAATTGATGTCTGACTGGTATTTGGAGTTGAATTTGTGTCTTATACATATTAGAATACGGGAACGAAACAATGAAAATGAAGCATTTGAGTTGCTGAGGAAGATATGCAGCGTGGCTTCAAGAGTTCATTTCCATATGAATCATATTTTGACAACTGTCGGTCTCAACTTCAGCAACAGTCATTTCATTGCACTTTAAATTTCATCTCGGTGCAAGTGAATTAATTGTGATTCTGTTCTTATTCGCGTCATCGCAAGTTATATGATTCTGCTTTTATTAAACATCTCCTCAATTCTTTCGTTCATGGTAATCTCACCTTTAATAAAGTCGTTTATCCAGGAAACATGGAAAGATCATTTAATGCTGTGAATATTACGAAGAATTTCAATAGACCGCTTGTGATGTTTTGCTTTCATTCTCTTATTGCTTTTGCAATTTACTGGATCGTAGCTGATTCGATGTGCTGAGATATTGCAAATAGATGGACGTATTATACGAATGAATGATTATATCTAATTCAGCACGCATTAAATAACGTTGGGTAGTGATGCATTTATTCACAATACGCAGCATTTCAACTAATTAATTATTCTTTCGAAAAACTAGCATCTGACACGGCAATGTTAAATAAAATTATACGAATTGAGAAAATCTTCGTGATCATACAACAGCATCGAATGTGAACGAACATATTTGCACACTTGCGTGAGTTTTTATAACAGACGCATTTGTTTCGTAGAATAAGAAAGATGCACGAATCACACGCACACATTGGTTCCATCAAGCAAATTCCATTCAATCAACCGTTTGTTCATGGTTTATGGTCGCCGAGAAACAACTTACCTTATACGCCCATTCGAAAGTAGCTCATTAACGGCTGGGTACTTCAATGAAAATCAGCTTCCATAATAAGGGGAACAATTTCATTCGAAATTCATTCATGAAATCATTCAAAAATTACATTGGCGAAATGATTTCATTCGAAAATAAAATGGAAATTTCAATGAATATTATAATAGTGAGAAATGGCATAGAAAAAGTGATCAAACAGTGAGAATAAAGCCAATTTGCCCTCATTCAGTACACAAATATCAGTCAACACTTTCACTGACCAATTATCACGCCTAACGTTTCGCAATTCATCACTACAAATAATCATTCACTTTCACTAGCCTTCTAAAGTAATTCCATAACCATTTGCAAAAACTAGACTTCTTATATCAAATCTCTCTCTGTTAGCAGTTTAAATTTGGTGGTATAAGCTCTTCCTGTGTTGAATACATGTATGACTGATGACTGCCTTGCGACTTTTCAATATGGTTCTGAACTGCGAAACTAATGTGAAAAATGCACATTTGAAGATTCGGCGTTGTAATTTGCTGAAGAAAAGATATAAACAGCGATCTAACAAAAACTATTGATCTCAGCAAAAGTAACGAAATTATTCTCAAAAACAGAATTCGTCCCTATGAAAGTTAACTTGACCAAATTCAAACGGAAATAATGAACACTTGAAGGGATATTGTATTCGATGAGTATAAGAAAAGAGCGAATGGTTGAATGAATAAAGATTTTGAATAATTTTGAATAAAGATTTGAGAAACAGAAAATTGTTTTATGATGATTAAACGTTTCAGAGACACTACGTTCTGAACAATTTTTAATCAAATAACGGCGTTTGTTTGCTATGAAAAATTCATCTAAAATATCAACAAAAAACAAAATAAGAAAGCAAATTTGAACACAATTACGATGTATCATTCATCCAATATTCAATAATTGATTTGCCTCACACCAAAGCGTTCAGGTTGTGTCGCTTCCAAAAAGCTGACAATGAGAGAGCATTAACTGTCGATTAAACGATAGGTTAATCTGTTGCTCGAAATTAAAATTACAACTTGTTTTCGTTTGACTCATTGCACCCGTCTTGTTTCGCAAAGATCTGCGATAAAACTATTACAAAGTGGAACATAAATTTATTTGAAAAATGTTTGCGGATAATCCATGTTCTTAAAATTCCGGGAAGACTCATTTCCAAGAATATAGATTGCCGTATACTTCACGGCAATCTATATTCTTGGAAATGAGTCTTCCCGGAATTAGGATAACATTCATGCATTATGCAAATGAACAAACAATGCACACATTCACGGATGACTTGAATATGTTTGTTGAAAAGAACCGAATTCAATTCACTCTAAATTTGTGCAATTCGAGATAGATTGCTCCATCCTTGCGAATCGACTGAATCGGGGTATTCGAACGAAAATTTTTAGCAATTATGTTCTAAATGGTGAATCTACTGCAGCCCATAACAGATACGACGACATTATGCCATCCTAGCAACAGCGATATCCTCTGTTTTGAGGACTGAATAAATAATCACTTCATGACATGAGCAACTACATAAATAGGCTCATTAACTATAAGATTCTCGTGAAGTCCATATTATGCTAATTTCACATATCGTATCCCGCAGTTATTTGATTGTACCTCCACGCTGCATCATTCTTGGTGTTTGCAATGTGCATAAATATGGCGTACGATTGACGCTTCGCAATTTGTTCATCTAAATTTTCAAGTTGCCAGTTAGAGAGATGTTCCNATTGATATTGCTGCAATCACACGTGTTCATTCAAGCCAATCTAGACAAAGATTTATGCGTGTACTTCGAAGAGATATTTTCATATTCAATAAATATCACTCGAATGGTCGACTCCAATTAAGCGTTTCTAATTCTTCCTCTCGCCTCATTCAACTGCTCAACGATCCGACGAGATAACACCAAACGCATAGCTGAAAAATGAATTTTTTATTTCCTGTGATTCGAGCCAGAAAGTGTTCATTGGTAGAAGATGAATTCTTTTGTTCGGCAAAATGTGATCCGTTCAGAAACAATGCTTTCCAAGACATTTTCTAACTGAAACTTTCAGAGTCTATCGTATCTCTCTTTAAAAACAGCAACAAAAATGCTCGTTTCCAGATGACATAGAAATCAATTGTTGCTATGTTTTAAGGATAGAACTGAAAGAAGTAGCCACTATTGTGAGCATAAGTTGCCTGATGCTAGCTGCATAAACGAAACCACTTAATACCACTTATTCGGATAATGATCATCATAGGCTGTTGGCAGTTCTTCCACAAAAATGCTCCATTTGTTTCTTATTTTAATGCGAAAATATTATGACAAAATGAATGCTGAGAGGTACTGAAGCGTAGAGATTGATTTTGTTCATGATAAATGAAGCATTCACTCGCTGATGCGATGATACGCAGTTGGTCACTTTGATGTTAAAAATAAATCACATTCAGCCAGATAAATCATGCGTATTAATCATATTTGAAAATTGCACTTATTTGGAAGTTGAAAAAAATTGTTTTCAGTTCGGTTAGAATTAGTATTTTGAAGAGGATAAATACTGGAGGTACCCAATCGATGCGCTGACCTTTGTCTCTCGTTTCGTATCGACTTCCTTCATATTCATCGATTCTCAGCTCGATTCCACTCTGTACACCCGCCAATATCGTCAGCAAAAAACGATGGAAATTCTTCAGTGTTGGTGAACAGCGATTGTCGCATTCGGATTTCGCTGAGCTGTATCGTAGCTGAAAAGTCTTGCATTAATTTTAGCAGTTCGAATTTTTTACATTATGAAATGATGAGAACTCTAAATGCGTTCGTAGAGATCCCCTCAAAAGTGCTGAAAATCGGATCAGAATTGTGTCGGACACTGTTGAATGGAAGAATGTTCCGATTTTGATCGTAGATGTGAACGGAGGCAAAGGCCAAACGTCAGCCTGGACGCAGACATAAGCCTAAGCTCACAATCAGCTTAATGCGGTTCGAATTGTAGGGTATTCAAAAGGTTTAACCTTGTCCGATTGCAGTGGGACTGACAGCAAAGAAATAATAACAATGTTAATTGCTACTATAACTGGTATGTTATTACCGATAACATTACTGGTATTGCTGTTGGCAATAACAATAAGAATAATGTTGAAAGCAACAGAAAAACGTCCGTTATCAGACTCATTTTTTAAAAATAAGATGTGATCTATATTGCCTCAACGAGATGGTCACACTAGAAAATGATATTTAGTTCGCTTCTGTTTAACGTTTCTTAACGCGACTGATAACAGTAACTAATCCATGACCGAGGTTCATCGTTGTTATGTTTCTACTGACCGTTCTGGTGTGACCTTCTTCTTGTTGTGCGATGAAATTGACCAATGACCTCACTGATCTTTCGTAGTCCTTAATATTGCTCCAATCATAACTGAAATTTTACCACCTCTAAGCTCTACGAATTAATCGTTTCTGTAATATCCNATCGATGGTAATGCATGTGGGTTCAATAGCTGTCATTCCATTTCACGTGATTTTTTATTCAAAAGACCGCCTTCCATTCCACGTATTCTACTCACAATCAAAAAATCTTTTCAATAAGCAAAAACTGGCTGATTGTGCGCTTATCTGAACATCTGAACAATGGTAAGTGCCCTGTATATTCATCCAAATAACATTAATCTGATTATGGCAACTGTAAAAATTCAAATGTCTTTCACATTTGAACATAAGCTGAAAAGAGATTTATGTCCATAAACAGTGCTGCTAAAGCAAATTTTCGTAGCATCTCACGAGGAAACCTCACGAAGTTACCCCCGCCTTTCGGAATGAGACCTACATCATTTTGTAGGGCTCATGTAGCTGATCAAGGATATGCAAAAAATTTTTCCAATGACAGGGGGGACGCAAGTTATGGTAATGATTTGGACAAATATGGCAATCACAATTCGCAATGGACAAATAGTCAATGATATTATGAATACTGGAGCATGTAACGCACTAACATTAATAAGATGTCCGAAAATTGATAGAAAATATCTCCAATAAAAACGCGGTTGTCATATTGATACCTATAATTTTTGCTTGATGAGCACCGATTCTTAATACTTCCATGTTGCTGAACCATACGACAGTAGTAGGACTTATTGGATCTGATAGAGTAAAATTATCCATCAATTATCCATCAAACTGGCAGATAATGAATGAATGAACAATTGATTATTGTTGATATTTACGATCAAAGTTGCTCGCTGTATTCGATGCTTTAATGCACTAACCATAGAATTATCGAGTCAGGAGTATGTCCAGGCGAATGAATCACTTTCACAACGTTTTTAAGATCATTAGAATCACCTAATAAAATGATTTCCTCATTTGCAATCCAACGCGTTAATTTATAAACTTTCACCTGAAATCACGCAATTCGCACCCTTTCTAACATCGCTTCTGGGTATTAAATGAGCACATGTCAAACAGTACTTATCAGTTCGCACATCAATGCACATTTACCTGCCAGTCATATTGTGTGTCACGCAACTTCGTATAATTCTCGTCTGCGCTCGATGCACACAAACATTCCACATTGTGCGATAAACCAAATTTTCCAGTTGTTGAAAAACTCCAGTTTCCTCCAGTCTTAACAACAACCAATATTTAGCTTCATAATATCGCGATCAATTTTTCAGCAGAGCATGAAATAGTACAATAGAATACGCTCGCTCAGAACTGCAGTTATGAAACTTTCGATGCGTTGAACACAAAGTGCTTGCACTGTGAAGCAAGAAAAAAGACAAGCTCGGTAAAGCAATCGTCAGCTCCACCGCATTTCTGTCTTCAACCGTTTTTTGATCGAATAATACACATTGTTCTCTTTCCAAAAGGTTATTTCCTGTCCTCATTTGAAGCGAACTCTTTCATTATCAGCGATTCATTCTTTTTGGTGTGTTCGACATATATCACAAAATACGCCATATCGCAACTAAAAAACTGCTCACGGTGAATGAATTTCGATCGAATCCATCACTACATTACGCCTCATAAATTCTACCACTTATTGCTACATTCAACTGAGAATTGCTCAAGTGAATGTCAATTGTTGATGGAAAATGTTGAGTGTAACCACCTGTTCAGGATGGTTGTGAGTATTGATAACAATAAGTTTTTGTTTATCACCAATTATGCGCGATGATCGAATGAACTGATTCAAATCACCTGAACCGCATCCCGTATCGATCAAAAGTGCTGCAAAATTAATTCAGCCCCACTTTATCACGAACGCAGCATGAATTCCAAGCTTATTGTGCCATTCGATTATCTATCAGTAAGCATTCAATATTGATAAGAATTTTGATTGCAAGGAATATTTCAGTTCCTGATAAATCCTAATGAAAACGAGTGAGTTTAATGCGATTTTGATACCTAAACTTCAGCGCAGTCAGTCATAACTATTACATGTCATTTATGATTCGCTTGTCATTCAGTCACATGTCTCATGCTCATTCTCTATAATCTGTATGTTTCAGAATTGACTATATTTTTATGGTTTCATTGAATTCGTTGCTTGCTCACGCTGAAGGTTTACATCTCACCCATCTTTTTCATTTCCTCAGTCGAAAGATTTCAGCCACAAATTTGATGCTTTTAATATCATCTTGTTTCAGGATAATTCAAATCAAAGTAAATTTAACCTTTCTGGTCTCCAACAATAATGTACATGAATGGATGGCATTCGTATTGATCACTTTCTTTAATGCAAAATACGTTTTCAGATATTTTTTCAATGTTATAATAACAGTCTCCAACACATTTCATTGCGCAGTCTTGTTGCATATTCTCTGAATTGAGTACAGAATTTGTCAGAGATCCACTCAATTATCCATTGTAATCATGTCAGTCTTCCTGAATTTTAAACAGTGATTCTGACGTTCATTTCAATCACAGGCTTTTCATTCCGAGCCTGTGCACTTAAATGAGCACGATAACGCGAACAGCACGGCATCTCAACTTTCAAAAATATAGATTTGTCAATTCAACAGGCACAATTGTTTCCAAATTCCATCAAAACAGATCGAAATGTTTCGAAAGCAATGGATTAACATTTCTCTCATGAATTTCTGCACGTACATGTGATAACAGTCAGAATTTTACGCAAAGTGAACATCACTTCGCGTGAAATTACTTTCTGTCGTGAATAATCACTTCGGTGAGGAATTATTGCGACTTGAGAATATATTCCAGCGCCCAGGGCAGTGACATTGCGGCATATCATTCTATCACCCATTTTTATATGTTCTCTCAACTGTAAATACGCTTTATACCATTATTTGTAACATTATAAACATGAAAAGGACAGAATTAAGACGTTAACGTTTAATTATCATGAACTTCAAAATCAGCCATTCAAGATAAGAAAGGTAAGGGAGACGAAGTGGCGAACGGATGGAAGAACGAAGCAAATAAGTTGGTGTGTAGCATTGAGAATGCATTGAACTGCAAAGATGATATTCTGCATTTGATGGGCAGCTCATCATGGTGCTTATTTAAAATGCATGACGAGCACGAAATGGGTGATCTGATGACTTTTCATTTTTAGTTGGTCGCACGAAAATCCTGGAAAACCTGCCCGTCTCCTTCCATGACTAAGGATCTCATTATATGCTTAATCCTAACTGTGTGCGTTGAGTTGGAGTGAACATATACAATTCAATTCATTCGTAGATCCTCAGAACAAACCGCTTTATGCGACCAAAAACACATCTAATATCAGAAAATTCTTTCATCACATGACTCCCGATTTTTGAAAACCTATAATGGTATGTTCAAAGAAAAGAAAGCAGAAATAATTCCAGAATTGGACCGATTTGAGGCGATTATCCATGATAATAATGCACCAATAATGTGGACAAAAGCTTCACTGCATTTGGAATGTGTATTTTGGCGAGTAATTATTCCGACTTCAAAATTTCATACAAAATTCCCAGTTCTTCTGTATGATCGTGATCTCAAACAAATGAGGAGAGAGCTAATTCTTGATTCTGGATGCTGAGTTGGTTATTAGTAATGTTCTTACCAATCCTAATCGATTTCGCTTGTTCTGAAGTAGTAAAGGCCAATTTGATGACTACTGGTTCATGAAATTGTATAAAGTTTGAAATTTGTTGGAGAACGTGAAAACCTTAGCATCATCTGTGAAAATGAAGCATATTGAGTCTGGAAAAAGGCACTGCAGAAGACGCTGAATATTTTTAAATACTTTGAATAGGATTTTGAATACGAAAGTGAAGGAATCCCAGAAGGCAATTTTGACGAACACACTACCGCTGATGTATACTGACGAACTGAATGAACCATTAAATTGAACTGATTGAAAAATGTTCCTAGGAAAATCTCACATCCAATTGAAAAGACAATCTCGTATGCCATATGCTTATAATTTTATGGATAATTTAGGTACAGGTAACGAATCAAACGATTTTTTAAAGTCGTAGCATAAAGTGTGGAAGTAGTCTCCCTTGTCTGAATGAGACATCTAATTTTGCAAGGATCGAAGTAAAGCCGCAGTGATTGNTCTCTTATCGTATTGGAAAGGGCGAAACAGCTTATTTATTGTAACATGGTTTCTCAGTTTGGCTGCAATTATTTGTTTCAAAACTAGAATAGTTTAATAAGATGGGATGGTTTTTTGCAGATTCGTTTCAGAATCTTTTCTATGTGCAGGTGTAATGATCGCTGGTTTTCACCATAAGTGGACTGAGCAAGCCGATGCAGTAAAAGCCAAACGATCAGACTCTCAGATAGAATGCACGTCGATATTCTCGAAAGGAAATGAGAAGGTGAAGTGTGGGCTATTGCCAGTTGATTGTTTCCATTTTTGAATTTTGTTGTCGTCGCTTGGTTATTTTCTCAGTATTGAAATCTGTTTTCATTACTGACTGGTGCTTGTTGTTGGAATGATTATCTGCTGTTAAATGATTCTGCAAAAACTTCCAACTATTTGCTGGTGTAATGTGGCTTTTTCCAGACAAACGAGCGGTGCAATTGCAAATTTCGAAGCAAGATTTGAAAGTAACGATCAGTGGATTAATCTTTGCTGAATAGCATCTTCGCGAAAATTACCGCTACTTTTTGTGTCACTCACATTATTATTAAATAACAATAGAGAAGGAAAACATTTTGCTATTAACAGGTCTTCTCAGACTGTGGTTTTGATTTTTATTATTAATTCAGCTGTCAACATTTTCTAGACAATACAAGAATTTTTACAGCATCATGAATATCACTGACTCTAACTTCACACATTCAATATTGATCGGTAGGCTTGCAAGCTGGGTCCCTCTATCTCAGCATTCGCCTTTTTCTCTTCCAAACCGTCGGTTACCAATCTGTAGTGATGGGAGCCGACCGAAAGTGATCCGATTCTGGAATTCCGATTATCGCAATGACGAAATGCCAGTTCGGTCGGAATTCCGACTGTCGGAACGGCGAAATGCCAGTTCGGTCGGATTCCGATCAACCGAAATTTCGCTCGGAACCCATCACTACCAATCTGTAACAATTTTTGCTCGAAGATTTGATTCGTCTAGTGATTTTGATATGCTTGTTGATGTAATTCATCAAACGTTCACGTGTTAAGGTTTTCATGTTCGAGTCACGGTTGAAAAGTGTTTATATTAAAGTTTGTTAAGATTGAAGTAAAGCTTACAAAATATTGTAAGAAATATTGCAATAGGAAAAATGTTACGAAAGAGACAAAAAGAGACAATACAAAAGATGCGTCATTGATGCATTTTCATATAGTTCCACGAAAAAGAGACAGCAAAAAGCGAATACAATGTTGAAGGCATTTTGAGTTTGTGAGTAAAGTGAATGTTGATTATAGGAGTTGAAGACGATATAATATAGGTTGACGGAATTGTGAATTTGCACTGTATATGGTCACTGCAACACAGCAGTTAATGTCGATTATAAGTACTCAAACTGAGAAAACGAATGAGTCTGAGATTTTTGGCAAATTTTCCAAAATAGGCTGAACGCAATGAATTCGGTCACGAATTTCCTCCCTGACAATAACAATCCCATCACTCAACATCCCATGAATTTCGATCAAGCTGCCAAAAATATTTATGCATTCCACTACGCATTTCTTGTTTTCGCCAGAATCTCAGACTGCTTATAACGATCACATTTATAGGACGTAGACTAAAGGTCCATCTCTGAAATTTTTATCAACTACCGGCTGCGGTTCGAGCTCTTCTTCATTGTGAGATTGATGAGGAGGATTAATTCCATTCAGACCTCTTATAAATTTATTAAGTTGGAAGAATACCTCGTCGTGCCCATAGATGATCTCAGACGGCTGAAAGGAATAATACTGATTAGTTTGAAGCTATTTAAGAGCATGAAAATAACGAAAAGGAGCACCATTAATGTTGACTCATTACGAAAGCTGACTGGAATAGGCTCAAATTTCCTTCAGTAGAATTCAATTTCAATCATAAAACACGTCTTTTTTTCTTCATCCGTTATCAGTCTAGCTGTCTGATTTCAATTAAAAACTCTTGAGTCGACGATCGGATGCTTGAGATTCGTGCCCGATGCACTTCTGTACCCTGATCATAGCAATGCATGACGATAAATGGCGTTATGCATGAAACTGAAGTGAATACGCTACGTGATAAATCCATTAGTTGTCAAGTGCCAATGCATTAGTTGTCAAGAGTTCGAATTGCCTCGAGCTAATCAGAAGTAAGCTAAAGTCATCAGGTATGGACGGGCTAGAATGCTTCCACTCTTATTGAAACTGCATTCATCTGTTCACGGACAACATCACCAATTGATTCTTTTTCCGAAAATCGTTTAACAATAAAACCGTTTCAGACCCTTATTCAGCATCGGATATATCGCTCTTGCAAGGTTATCAAATGAAGCAGGATTATTGTTTCATTATCCTTAATTCTACCATTCTCAATAAATTTTTAAAAAATGATAAGATGGATCAAGGAATAATAATTTTTTACATCAAGCATTGCTGGCTTCAGGCCGAGAAAAGTCGCCCGCTGTTTTAGATGCCGACAAGCAGCTGAAAATCAATTAAAGCCTTAGATATGATCAATTTGATGATAGTTTCTTGTGATTAGCATCCAGACATCATCATTACCAGACATCGACTGAGATTCAGTGGGGTTCTAAATGAGGTTCAGTTCAGTGAGGTTCTAAATTTACAAGCAATCGTTTACAGCGATAAAATCGAAAATAAATCCAACTGAAATTCCTGTAGCTTCGTAGTTTGAGTCACCCAGAATCACTTTGAATAACGGTATTTGTAAAGATTTTTCGTTAGTGAACATCGCAAATTAAGCAATTATTGTGATAGAAGTTAACCTTGTTCCGAGATGACCACGACGATGGCACAAAGCAGAACGATTTTCACTGACATGTTGAAGAATGAAGATTTGAAACGTTTGATCACTCAGACGACAGAATCGATAATGAACTGCCGAATGATGTCAATTTATAGCCGAATTTTGTTTTGATCATAATTCGCATCGTTTTAGATGCAACAATTAATGATTTGGTTATCACCAATCCATCAGACAAATATTTTGAAAATTTCAATATTGAATAAGAAAACATTTCGTTGATGTCGCCGACGAAGACNCCGTCTGGAGGTGGATAATCCGGCTGGCAGTTCAGTCATCGCTTATCAACGGGTAAACATTTTGATTCCGGAGTGGAACAATATTTTGTTGTTGTTATTCTTGGCGATTCATCTCATTCATCTCATCCATTTGCGTGAACACCCATTTTTAACCTCATCCAATTTTTGCCTACTGCGTCTGAAATTTGGTAATCCGGTGAGTGATTCGGGTGTTCATTATCACTGACGGTGAGCGAATGTTTTGAGTGAAGAGTCGAGGAATGTATTGTTGCTGGTGTTTTGGACGTTCCAGCTCATAATTGTTTTGCAGTAAACATCATTTTATTTGCATTGTCGCAGTCTGGAATCTCGTGACTGGTGTTACGTAATCGAGACGATAATATACGAAATTCACTTGTCAAAAAGCAAATATTTTGCTGTTGCTGCATACGAAAAGCTAATACGATTCCAAATCGCCGCTGTTTAACAAAATCTGCATGAATATCATTCCATCTCTTTTGCCG